AGATCACATTGGGGATGAACTTAGGGAGAGGTTTCAGTAACACTTTGTCCCTGTGACATATGGTGCAGAGGGGGTCAGCCATAAATGTGTGGAGATCATCCACTGTCCTAGCTGAAGCAATAGTAACCAGGAAGACCATCTTCAGAGTAAAACAAAATAAGGACCATTCTAACAGAGGCTGGAAGGGTGAGTGTCAAGAGGACAATGTTGAGGTCCCAAGCAAGAGTAGGTTCTCTGACTGGTGGATAAGTATATCAAGAGCCTTGAGGAACTTCAATATTTTTGGGTAAGAGACCAAGCACGACAGCACAAGCAGACAGCAAGCTGAGATCACTGTGACGGGGACCTTAACGGAGCTGAATGAAAAGGCAGGGCGCAGCAAATAATTGAGGATCTTGAGCATCACAGCCTGCCAAGGATCCAAGCTATGTTGGGTCATCAATATTGAGAATCTCTTCCATTTTGTCAAGTAAGTCTTTCTGGGCAAGGTCTTCTTGGACTTGTCAAGAACAGTCCCTGTCTGAGGTACTCAACTAGCCAACATCCAGGCTGTCGGATGTAGAGACTGTGGGTTTGGATGAAGTATCTGACCACGGTGCTTTGAAATCAGGTTTCAGCAGGGTGGGACCTGAATAGGTGAATGGACATCAGTAACAAGTCTAAAACTGCCTCGGCCAGGAGGAAGCTATGACAATGATCACGGATGGCTCGGTCTCGTTTGACTTTGGAGATCACCCTAGATGAGTCAGCAAAAAGCCATAGAGGAGGCGTCTATTCTACCATAGAGGAGGCAGAAGGAAGGCATCTTGTAATGATCTTGGGCTCAAAACTAAACACTTGGTCTTGTTTTTGGTGGCAAACAGGTCTGTCACAGCAATCCTCCACAGAAGGAGCATTGGGTCTATGATGGATCTCAGCAGGGAGCACTCATGATTGGTCATTGATTGTTCAGGAAGTCTGCCAAGTCACTGCTGACTCCCAGGAGCCACTGGGGTTACTCTGTGTTGGCAGCCCCATGTCCAGAGTTTGATGGCTTCCAAAGACAGGAGTGCTGAGCTGACGATTCATTGTTTGTTGTGCATCATGGATATGTGGTCTATCATCATCTGCACTGTGGAATTTTGGAGGATGTTAGGAACACCATATGGGCTAGCCTGATGTCTCTGAGGTCCAGGACATTTATGGGAAGTCTCATGTCTCTAGCACAGGGGTCAGCAACCTTTCAGAAGTGGTGTGCTGAGTTTTCATTTATTCACTCTAATTTAAGGTTTTGCATGCCAGTAATACATTTTAATGTTTTTAGGTCTCTTTCTATAAGTCCATAATATATAACTAAACTATTGTTGTATGTAAAATAAACAAGGTTTTTAAAATGTTTAAGAAGCTTCATTTAAAATTGAATTAAAATGCAGAGCCCCCCCTGGACCGGTGGCCAGGACCCGGGCAGCGTGAGTGCCACTGAAAATCAGCTTGCGTGCCGCCTTCGGCACGCGTGCCATAGGTTGCCTACCCCTGCTCTAGCAGATGTTATCTGAGCATCCCCAGACTTGCAAGTCCTCAAGGAGAAAGTCTGGCACACAGAGCACTTGTCTGGGATGTCTCTCTCCCCCAAGCAAAACAGGCATCAACTATTCCTGTCCATAGGGGAGATGAGCCCATCACAGGATGGGCAGAGTTTGAACCCTGACAGCTTAGAGTCCACCATGAAGTCTGGTGGCTGGCACAAAGTTCCTTACCCCACTGTGTGGAGGAGTGTGTGGGGGGGAGGGGTTGCCTAAGCGTAGTAGTTCTTTTTTTCAGACACATCCAATTTAAAGGAGTGGAAAAGATAAAGTTCTTCACAATTTTTTGAGACAGGTTTTGAAGCCTTCAGGAGAGTAGTGGCTGAGAGTAGAGGGCACTTGCTACATTCTACCTTGCTGCCGTGGGTGGTAAGAGGGAACTGAGGGAGGGTCGCAGCTGTTCCACTCTTCATGCACTGGCATGGGAGCATGCGGCGGCATAGGGTGCTTATGCAGCCCCAGTGGACCCTGCTGTTCAAAATATTCTTTTGCTCATGTACACGAGGCCCATGTGCACTTACAGTGGGATCTACGCTAACATACAGGAAAAAAAATTAGGATTTTGTATTCCTAATAAGGCGTTGTTTTTCTGTTTTTGGGAAAATTATGAATGAAGAAGTGTGCTTGACTAATTGTGGTTTTAAGCTATATAAGCTTCCGTGTTCCTGTGTTATGGAGAGCAGCCAGGCTGGTTGTCTCTCCCTGCCTTGCTTGTAATAAAGGAGCCTCAGGCTGTTCTGATCCAAACACAACGCGTGGTAATTTCCCCACAACATTGGTAAGCTAGTTAAAAATGTGTCTGAGCAACATTCAGATGTTACCAGAGCATTAACAATTTCCCCTGTACAAGGGCAATTTCTCCCATTTCCCACAAGAACATGCTTTCTTTTAAAACAGCAGCCATTTTTATTTCTCCTTTCAAATTCTTTCAAAGATGCCTTGATTGCTAATATAAGTGCCCATCATATCAACCACTGTAATTACTCTTTAACTAAGCACCAGCTTGTCTTACTTCACTCCATTTTCATAACCCTCAGACAGTAGTAGTTTCTCTGGCCAATACTGCTGTATGGGCAAGCAGAGGGCAATGTTATACTTGACTAAGCAACTTATCCTGGTAGAGTGAATTCTTTGATACAGCCTTAGCTTAAAAGAGGGTGATTTTTACCCATCAGTGTCACTGGACTGAGCCAAGTGACAACCCACATTAGCAGGAAGGCAATGAGTCAGGTCTGACTAAAGTAGTTAATTAAAGGTGGCTTTTGGAGGGGAGACACTTAAAGACAGTTTAACTTGTAGAGAGGCTGAACATCCACACGCCCACACAATATTAAGCATGTACTTTACACATGGTGAAGAACAACATTTAAAAGTCAGGTTTTATCACTCAGACTTTTCCCAGATGTTATATTACCTTTGCCTTGTTCTTTATTTCCCCAGGACATTTCCATGGCAAGATGACTGAAAGTTCACATGGACCTGCTGCTGCTTACAATAGTCTGTGCATTAGCAGACTATATGTAATGGTGACCTTCAGCATAATTTTTTAAATAAAAAGCATAATGATTGTGGTTTAGTTGACACAACTACCTTCCCCTGTCACATAAATGCAAAAGTCGAATTTGAAAAGCTGAAATTTCAAGCTCCAGATGCAATGGGACCATTCACTACATGCTCTCACATCTATTAACAGGATCCTCCTTTACACAACACATGTACACTAGTAAGGCAAAGTGTACTATATCCATCTTAAGTGTAAAACACTGTTTAAGACATACATTTTAATATTTGTATTTCAGTAGCAGCTCATTTTGCTGGACACTACAATAAAACAGTCACTGTCTTGACTTTACAGTCCACTACCTATGGTGTATAAATGTATATTGTATAATTTGCATACTATTGTAATACAAAGATGCAGAGAAGCAGACTCGTGAGAATCTTAACTCAGAATTTTTGTTTTTTTGGGCAGCCACATCTCAGCTGTCACAGCATCTAGATGTCATGCCAATAAGCACATTAGTGTTACTCATTGCTTTAATTTGTGGGCTTGCTATAACAGACGCTACGAACCAAGAAAGTTTATTTTTTTTAAATAAAGAGAAACACACTGTCTTCTGCACGAGCAACATAATCAAAACCAAAACATATTTTTATTACAACTTTCAATTCTCAAAATAGTCAAATGATTATCTAAATTTTTGAGTGAATTGAGGGAGAAGGGGAGGAGCAGTGGTGTTCATAAGTATGATCTTGGCCTAAAGGTTTGTCTTCATTTAAAAAACATCTGGGCCAGTAACTACAATGATGTAATCACCACTTCAAGTTTTCTGAATAGAGACAAACCTTTAGTGTCACCCAAAGATGACTGGTGTCTTGTTTCTTCTATTTCCAGATATTTCACTGCCAAAAACTCAGTTTCAAAGGCTTTCTGATCTCCTGCCTCGTGAAAATTCATCACTAATACTGGAAACCGGGAGACTTTTCAAGTGGAGGGGTGGCCTCTATGGAAGGAGTCATGGGACTTTGGAATCATCCAAGGAAGCTTCATGGGCATATAGGCTGGTCTGCCGGGTAGGAGGTATTAAGGCAGTTCAGTGATCTTGTGTATTGGAGGGATAGTCTCCGTACAACTGAAGCTAATTTCCAGATGAAACAATACCTATCCAGGCACTTATCCCTAACTTATCACCGTGGTATCTGAGCTCCTTATAATTATAAGGGTAAGCACATTAAAGATTTCTTAAGTGCCTGATGGAATGAGCTAACTCATCTGCATTTTGCTTCCTACCAGGCATGCAATCCATTTTGTAACATCACCATTAATTGCTGTGGAATTAGCCCATAACGGCAACTTCAGTTGGAGTAAACTGTGGAGCAGCTCAGAGGAACTTAAAGGGAAAAAAAGAGCTCGTTTATTTCTACAGGCAACTGCCTCGAAATGTAAGATTAAAAAAAGTAATTTACAGAAGACAGACAACTTTTCAGGAAACTGGTAAGACATCTCTTTTCCCAGAGATCTGGCATCCAATTTTCTAATAAAATGTGATAAAGTGTCCCAGTTTCCACATTTACTCTCATTCTTAAAGGTACTCCAAAATACTAATAGTCGGCAGTCACTTCAGCCCTGCTAGGTGTCTGAAATTGTGCCTGCAGACATGTACAACAGACTAATGGTTTTGGGATTCCTTTGAAAAAAGAGAGGTTATACTATATTATGAACCTCAAGATTTGAGGAGCTGATGATAGTTTGTAACACCAGTATTCGCCAGCACAGCAACACAGAAAAGGCAAGACCCCTGTCACCGTGGTATATTGTCAATGCCCAACAGAACATGAACAGCTGGACAAGACTCCTACCATATTTTCACAGTAAGTATAAGACAAAAGGAAGATTTTCTACCAACAAGTATTTTAGTCTATTTACTTCCCCAACTCAACCCGTCCCTCCACTCATGAAGAATTTATGGCAGTACCCCTTTGAGACACTCCCACCACCCTGTCTTTCAGCACTAGAATGCCTCCCAGCCACATGTTATTTTATATGGCTATATGCGGAGACAACTGTCTTCCAACATCTAACAGAGGGATGGAGGTGGGGAAGAGACCACGGTGATAGGGAAATTAAAGAACTAAACCATTCAAACAACATGTTTAATGCTATATTAACCACCAGAAGAACATTTAACACGCAGTTACTGACCACCAGCCTCTCTTTCCTGCATTTCTCCTCCCGTTAGCTAACAAAAGAAAAGCCCAAAGACTGCATTTAGTCAAGAGAGCAAGAAGTTGCCAGTTCCCTTCAAAATAAGTATTCTATAGATAAAACCAGGATTTCCTTCTAATTGAAAGAAAATTCCCCTCCAGTCAACGAGTCTGTCATCATTCTAAGGGAACTGTTACATTGGGTCAAGGGAAGGGGAATGTATTTTAGGGTTTTGCATACAGGGACAGACAAAGCAACTGTAATCTGCTAAAGTCCCAGACTATAATGGGGATAAGGAAGAGCAGGATGTGCAGTTCTCCTGGTAAGGTTAGGGGGGCAGGTGGGCTTTCAGTTGCTGGAGGACTTGGAAAGTCTGGAGACACTCTCCAGCAAGCGAGTGATTCCTCTTCCTCGCATGATGCTTGTGCTACATGGCGATGTCACTCCAGAGGGATGTTCACCTATAAAATTAACCAGTACATTTTGCAAGTCAATCAGCATTTAAAACATTCATAATTCAAGAGATCTGCTGTCCTATCTCCCCTTGCTCCAGCTGAAAACTAGTGGGACTGCACCTTTTGATTGAACTAACCAAGAGGCAGTGTCTTGGACTTTGAAATGCTGTCCTCAAAGTACACCAAGTCCATCAATGACGTCCTTCTGGCAAAGGCTCATGACTTGTAGTTTGTGGTCTTAGTGCAGGGGTTGGATTAGGCAGGTCAGAGAACTGGTATTTTTCCCCGTTTGCCATCTTGTGCTCCAGAATCTAAATTTTCATTTAAAATCCCTCCCCGCCCCAGCCTGGTCTACACGGAAGGATTGAACCAATTCTAGTCGCTGTTTTGACTGCCCTTACTCAAACCCTAATGGGTATTAGTCTACTCTAGTTTCAATCAGTGGTAAATTGCAACACAGCACATCCTAGTTTACCCTATCTACACTAGGGGTTTGCATCAATGCAGCTACATCACTGGCTGGAAACAGGGCAAATGAGGTACACAAAGCCTAATTCTCTAGCCCTTATGGATGTAAAGGAAACCAGTCTTAAAAGTGTGAACAGAGTGTTGAGACAGTGATGTCTGCTAGAGTTTGCAGACAGCTGGCAAACCAGATCTGAGGGAGGAATGAACGGCAGCTTTCATCCTGGGTGTAGACCCAAGCTGGAACACGCTATTGACAACTATTTTGCTGTTAATAGGATTCTTTAGGCTGGTATGGAAACTTAGTTTGATGGAACCTTTTTGCTCTTTCACATTTTCTATTAGGCATTCAGATGTCTGAGCACGTGTGTAAAGTTACAAGTTAAATGTAAATCTTCATCAGAGTAATGTTAAAATTGAGCATTTAAGGACAAAGTCTAAAAAGGCAAGAGTTAGGTTCTCCTAGCAATGTCAGTCCACCCATATTGCACACAGCTATTGAACTTGAAAAGCAGAAACTGGTCCACTGTCTGTTGCTCCAAGCAAACCATTGCCTTTAGTGAGGTTATACAGAGCTAGAGCAGAATTTGGCACAGTGCATGCTGTACATGTGGGTTAATACTGCCAAGAGTATTTATACAAAGGAAAAATTCTCAGTTGTTTTGCTTTTCTTTATGAGCTAAGTAAAGAGCGTTTGCTCCAACTCCACAATACTGCAACTTGAAATATAGCAAGATTGTATGTGCAGTAAAAAAAAGATTTTAAACTAAGCCTATTTAAATTGTTTTTCTTCCAACTCACAGCTACTAGCCCTCACTGAAGACTAGCCATGATCTGACATTTCACATACCCTTGTGAAAATGTCATACTTTGTGGCTTAGGAAGAAGATCTGTTTCCCTTGCTCACTTAACTCAGAAGTACCTGGGAAAATGCAGCTCTCATTTTCCATAAAATAAACATTATCTTCGGGCTCTGACCAACTAAAGAATGTTTTAGCTCCAAAAAGGCAGATTTTCAAGGAGTCAAGTTTATAATGGAAGTCACACTGCAACCAGTATTCACTGAGTTTGTATGTACTGTACTTTTTATACAAGACTACCTGTTGGGAAGACAACCCTACCCCAAATACTCACCAGGAAGTCCTCTCTCAACCCTGGTGTATGCTGAGAGAAAGGAGGGCTGCAGGAAACTGGAGGTAACAGCACACAAGGAGTGCTGAACACAATGAATTGGAGGAGTCCTTTTTGGCTCTGGGAATTCTTTCCAGTAAAACTGTCACTGGCCCATCTGGTTAAGGTCAGACATTAAAAGTTCAACCAAATCTACAACTGTATACATGAACGAGCTGAAGCTGTACCACCCAAGGGAGGTATTGTGATGATCATCTGGCCATTTACTATATCCAGAGACAGGGGGGGCAAAGGAGGACAGTGCCACAGTCATCTGATAAAGACTTAATTCTCATTCTTTCCCTTCCCAAATCTGAAAGTCTCAAACTCACCAGCAGAAGAGGCAGCACCTTGTTTCTCAACTGGAGAACTGAAGTATCGATTACAACCAGGATTCTGAGCCCTCAGCTTCTGTAGCAGAAAAAATTCAAGTCCCCTTCTCAGAACAGACAAGTGTTCTCTTTCACATAGCATCCACCACACCTACTCACGATACCCAAGAGTGCTGGGTAAAGATTTAGGCAAGACAGAATATCTGGCTGCTTATCTGCATAGGATTTAAACAGGTTAATTATCCCTGCCTCTTATTCTAAAAGAAGCATTTTTGCAGGTATATTTTGGAGGACCTGATGGTCAGATCAGAGCTTATGTAGCAAATGGTTGGGACAAACTTCAGAAAGATGTCTAGTCAGCTAGTGGAGAACTTTCCTGGTTGGCTTTCCCAATACCCGTTGTGCATTATGAACAAGAATGTCACCTGCTGTACAAGTGAATATAGCCAATCTGACACTGGAAGGTCAACTCCATTGCCCCAGAAAGAAACCAGGCCACCTTCAGGAAAAGAGTAGTCATAGCAGCCTGAAATAATTCAGCACAAATTCAAAGAAGATGACCTGGAAACGTCCAGCATCCAGTACCACCACCTTGGGGTTTATATTGTTGCTGGAATCATAGTCTTGCAGAGGTAGGTGAGCTGTTGTGAGCGAGACTCCATACACGCTTGCCAGAGTGTTACTGATGCAATAACTACATTGAGCAAAGGAAAAAAAAGAAAAAAGTTCTGATAAGAATTCTGTACTGTATTTCTTATATACAAAGGCAACATAGCCCCAAGCCTCTTTTACAGTGAAAGACATACAGAAGGAATAGCTGCTATCACCAATACAGTACTTTGAGGTTGGGGGGGAGGGAGGGAAGGTGAGATAGGAGGACTACACCCTAATAACATCCTTTCATCCAGAAAAAGGCCAATCTTCTTTAAAAATTATCCATGAAGCTACAATAATCACTTGCCCCCATCACCCAGGGTGAAACATGACAATTGTTTAATGGTGCGCAGCATTATTAAATCAGTTTGAACAGGAAGACTGCTACTATATCCAACTGTTGGGGAGATAATGCAATTATTTAAATGGATATTTGCCTAAATTACCCCTTTTACTTCCAAAAAGCACAGCGCACAGGGTCATACGTGAATTTCTAGGATAGAAATTGGAAGAAAGTCTTCACTATATTTCATCTCAACACAGGAACTCTAAGCTGCTATTAAGAAAGCACAGTGAACTCTAATGCAGACTGCACAATCCTCAATATAATTCTAATACATTAGAGCAATCAGAGTCACCAGACACCCACCAAAGCACAGGCACTCATGGGCAGAGACTGGGGGGGAGCACTGCCCCCCCAAAACTGGATATATTGCAGAGGTAATGCATGGGGGGGGGGGACGCCCAGATTTCTCCCTTCTATTTGGCCCTGCTTCCTCCCTGCGGAGAAATGTTCGGGGAGGGGGAGGGCTGGGCGCAAGTGGTGACACCAGGCCCTGTGTGTGTCCCAGGTCAGCTTCCCTATGTGAGCTGTGTAAGGGAAGGGCAGGAGAGCAGCTCCCGATCGGCGGGTAGTAATTGATCTATCGGGGATCGATTTATCGTGTCTTGTCTAAACACGATAAATCGATCCCCGAATCGACGCCCTGTACTCCACCTCGGCAGGAGGAGTAAGTGGAGTCGACAGGGGAGCCACGGCGGTCGACTTGCCGCCGTGAGGACGGCCAGGTAAGTTGAACTAAGATACTTCGACTTCAGCTACGCGAATAGCATAGCTGCAGGTGCGTATCTCAGATCGATCCCCCCCCGCCCACCCACCAGTGTAGACCAGCCCTAAGAATTGTCTGCAACATAGGCTAGGTCTACACTACCCGCCTGAATCGGCGGGTAGAAATCGACCTCTCGGGGCGATCCCCGAATCGATGCTCTTACTCCACCAGCGAAGGTGGGAGTAAGCGCCGTCGACAGGAAGCCGCAGAGGTCGGTTTTGCCACCATCCCTACAGCGGGGTAAGTCGGCTGCGATACGTCGAATCCAGCTACGCTATTCGTGTAGCTGAATTTGCGTATCTTAAATTGACCCCCCCCCGTAGTGAAGACGTAGCCATAGACACATCTCCTTCATGGTACTCACGCAGTTTTCTTGCAGGATGCTAAAGCGCAGAATAGGATGTCATTCTCTTCATGCCACTTGCACCTAAGTGCAGATTGAAATTCTTCTGAGTTCATAATGAAAACAAAACTACACTCTTAATTGAGATGGATATAATTAATCTAGTTGGATTAGAAACCCCTTGGCTGATGCTAACCTCCCTTTCTCCTAGTCACTTTCAGTGTAATTACACCCAGATCTAGAAAACTCCTGGCAGAGTCTTGGTGCCCAAAAGTAACATAGCTCGGGCCCCTAAGTTTACATTTAGTTAAGAGGTTGTAGTTTTATAAAACCTAATAGAAATTCTCTTTTTCTTAAAAAAAAAGAAAAGTGAATTTAAGGAAAACCATCCACTTGAAGTCTTTTTAATTTCAAAGACTTAAAAGTAGTTTTTGGTACTATACCTGCCCCAGATTCTCCCTGGGAGTTTGTGATTTTTGTAGTCACAAGGTTCCCCTTTTTTTAATTATTATTATTATTATTATTACTATTATTAAAAGGACAGTTTCTTTTCCCGGTTGGTGTGTGAAGGACCCACACAAACAGGGGGAAATGACTATACAAAGGAAATGGTGACACTGACTATACAGAGTGCTGTCAAAAACTCAATAACCAGACAGATATTTCTCTCCTATAATCTTAGAGTTACAAAAAGTTTACAGTCTTAGTTGTTACTTATAACAATAGCAGGTAAAATGTCAGAAATGGACAGTGTCACTTTAAACTTCTCCTGCAGCATTTGCAGCCCAGATGTTGCAGCACTGTGCTAGTGCATGAGAACCTGAAAGTGAAACCAAGAAGTCTATCTTTGCTGTCCATGATACACATTCAAAAACTGAACATAAGGCGAGAAATATATTCAAACTGAATCTTATTCATATATAAGGTGTTTTGCTCTCAGAGATAGCCATGAAAACCCAGTTAAGTCAATGGATTTTCATGGATGAAACAAAAGAACCTTGCTCTGATTTCTAATCTAAGCACCTCTATTAAAAAAAAATAAATCTATTTTGGCAGACAGAAATGGATATACAGTCCAGCAGGATAATTCCGACAACTTACCTGTATTTTAATTTATGGGGTACAAATAAGAACATCTGACTACTATAATTCAGTGGATTATTAATGAAGCAAACATTCTTCCAAACCTTTTCTTAATGCAATTTTAATGGGTTTATGAAATTCAAAGCAGCAAAGATGTTCATATTTTGAGATACCTCCCAAACACAAGCACATGGAAGTATTATCTCACCCCATCCCTTTCCACTCTCAAGTCAAACCCACAAGCCTCTGCTTCACAGACTTCAAACCTATGCTTATGCTTGAAAAATCAGAGACATACTGTCCAAGAGTGCATTTCCTCCAGCCACATCTGAGCCATGATCCCAGGAGGACCAGCCTTAATGATGAGACTAGAGTCTTCAGCTAACCTAACACTGAAGTAAGAAAGGTGTATGTGTGCAGCCTGTTTAAAGCACCTGGCTAACAGATAGTTACCACTATAACATCTTCCTGTTCAGGAAATAGGGAAAAGCCAGTGCCAGCATACCTAGTGTTACTGGAGTAATCCCACATGAAGACATCCAGCAGGTTGCGCACCCAGGTCTTGGAAGGCTCCTTTTGAAGTTTCCGCTGGTACAGTTCCACCACCAGGTTTTCCACACTGAAAAGCTCCAGCTGGTTCTCAATGCCTGTTATTCAGAGAAGACTGAGTCAAGAAGAGGAGAAGGAAGGGCAGAAACTTTGACAAATATAGGTGGGACAGAGGAGATGCCTTACAATCTTAAAAAATTAACTTCTCACCTGCTTCCTTAGCCATCCATTTCAGACACCAGTTGACTCTGTACCAGTCATCAGACTACAGAGAAAAAGGTTTCACTGTCACATGCTCCAGAACACAACTACAGCTATGGAGTGGAGTTTAGTTTTCTCCACCTCCCCTCCCCCGCCACTCCTAAACCATCTTCTCCAGCTACTTTAATTCTTGCACAAAGCCATTTTCACTCTTACTGAAAGTTCTCCATGCGTCCTAAAGAGGGCTCTGGCTCAGGGTGCGGGCTCTCGGGTGGGGCTGGGGATGAGAGGTTTGGGGTGCAGGAGGGGGCTCTGGTCTGGGGCCAAGGGGTTTGGAGTCCAGGAGGAGGCTCAGGGCTGGGACGGGGGGTTGGGGTGTGGGAGGAGGTTCGGGGTGCAGGCTCCAGGAGGGAATTTGGGTGCAGGAGGGGGCTTAAGGCTGTTGATGGGGTGTGGGAGGGGGTGCGGACTCTGGGAGGGAATTAGGGTGTGGGAGGGGGTTCCGATCTGGGGCAAAGGGTTCAGGGTGTGAGCTCCGTCCGGGCAGCGCTTACCTCAGGTGGCTCCTGGTCGGTGGCGCAGCGGGTCTAAGGCAGGCTCCCTGCCTGCCGTGGCTTCACGCTGCTCCCAGAAGTGGCTGGCATGTCCAGTCCCTAGGTGGAGGCATGGCCAGGAGGCTTTGCGCTGTGCATGAGGCCCGCCCCCGTAGGCACCGCCCCCGCAGCTCCCATTGGCCGCAGTTCCCAGCTAAGGGGAAGCTGTGGAACCATCACTGCGGGGGATCAGCACATGCGGAGCTTCCCTGATCACCCCTGCGCCTAGGGGCTGCAAGCACATGCCAGCCGCTTCTGGGAGCTGCGTGGAGCCGACCAGACTTTTAATGGCCTAGCAACCCTAGCTTCCCCCCACGGGTGGAGGGGGTGGGGGCTGAGGCTCGGGGCTTGCCACAGGCTGGATGAAATTAAGCAGCTGGCCGAAGGTTCCCCACCCTTGCTAAAAAGGCTTCTTTGGGCAACTACAATAGGACTGTGTGTTTTGAAGAGCTGCTCTAACTTGGAGGGGGCTGGATTGTACCTTGCAGTACACAGGTGGCCACCTGCCGCGGTTTGGCCGAACAAACGAGTAAAGTTCACGTAACACAACAGGGTGACCAGCATTCGAGAGCTCAAAACCAGAGATGGGGATCTTGTGAGTGGCATCGCCTAATGGAGGTTAATGAGGAGAGAGAAAAATGGGATATGAGCAGTCCATTTTTTTTTTTTTTTTAAGAAACACGCACTCCTTTCTCTACTCCTAGGCCCACCTACCAGCCACAAGTAAAATCTGCAAGATTCATGCACACACCAGAACCTCACCTTTAACATGCACCTACTTATTTTCCCCAAAGATCTGGGATGATCTCAGGTGAGAGCCCTACGTTGCTTTAAAGAGAGAGTTACCCAAGCATTTTGATAAAGGGAAGCAGCAGCTGTGTCAGTTAGCAGTGTGTGTGTGTAGGGACAGGAAGTCCACTAACTGGAATCTATAAACACTGCTCAAATGGCGATATAGGGAAAAGGTAAAAACAAAGCAGTGCAAGTCAAAATAGCAGAGAGGGCCAACCGACAGGGTTGTAGGAATACTTTAACTTGTTGAATGTCAATGCTGCATGGAGAAGTATTAGGTTTGTATTTCTAGAGGTTCCTCTTTAATAATGATACTTTATATTAGCATCTTCCAGTTTGGGAAAAAACAAGATTCCAGTGTATTTTTTCACCCATTTATTTTTTACAAGCTACGCGCACACACACGGGGGAGATGCTTTACCCACCACTGAAAGGCAGCCACCTCAGAGATGGAAACGACAGCTACGAAACATCACGCACTGAAGTTACACAGACGTTTAGGACAGAAATACTGAAGCTAATTGGAATTCCATGTGGGAGGGCAGGTCATAGCCAACAGGACATGATTACCCACAATGGACGTTTGGGCAAGACACCATCATTAGTGAAAAGTGTCAGAGGTTCTTTAATGACTAGTTATTCAGAAAGAAGTGCTCTTGGTCTACAGAAGACACAACATTATGAAATCCCTCAGGAAGTTTGCTCTAGTGCCCATCTCTCTCTTGGACGCGAGATGCACAGTTCTTAGAGAAGCATCACTTCTCACAAGCAAGGAAAATGTTTGAAGGACTGGTGTACATAAGCCAGTGAAACTGCCAAACCCTGCATCCCACCCCTTTCCTTCTCTGATACTCACTTGCTGCTTGACAATGAAACCGAAAGCCACGTGGCACCTCTCCTGCAAGAGGGTAGAGAGAATACACATTTTATCAAGCAAGAAACAGATACATGAACACCAAATAATGAACAATATCTCGTTGTGCTAGAAGAACGGCCTTACTGGGTCAGACTAAAGGTCCATCTAGCCCAGTATCCTGTCTCCCAACAGTGGCCAATGCCCACAGGGAATGGACAGAACAGGGAATCATCAAGAGATCCATCCCCTGCCACCCATTCCCAGCTTCAGGCAGAGGCTAGGGACACCATCCCTGCCCATCCTGGCTAATAGCCATTGATGGACTTATCCTCCATGAATGTATCTAGTTCTTTTTTGAAACCTGTTATAGTCTTGGCCTTCACAACATCCTCTGGCAAGGAGTTCCACAGGTTCACTGTGTGTTGTGTGAAAAAAATACTTCCTTTTGTTTTAAACCTGCTGCCTATTAATTTCATTTGGTGACCCCTAGTTTTTATGTTATGAGAAGGAGTAAATAACACTTCCTTATTTACTTTCTCCACAACAGTCATGATTTTATAGACCTCTATCATATCTCCCCTTAGTTATCTCTTTTCCAAGCTGAAAGGTCCCAGTCTTATTAACCTCTTCTCATATGGAAGCCGTTCTATACTCCTAATCATTTTTGTTGCCCTTTTCTGAACCTTTTCCAATTCCAATATATCTTTTTTGAGATGGGGTGACCACATCTGCACACAGTATTCAAGATGTGGGCGTACCATGGATTTATATAGAGGCAATATGATATTTTCTGTCTTATTATCTATCCCTCTCTTAATGATTCCCAACTTTCTATTCGCTTTTTTGACTGCTGCTGCACATTGAGTGGATGTTTTCAGAGAACTATCCAAAATGACTCCAAGATCTCTTTCTTGAGTGGTAACAGCTAATTTAGACCCCATCATTGTATATGTATAGTTAGGATTATGTTTTCCAATTATCAACACTGAATTTCATCTGCCATTTTTTTTGCCCAGTCACCCAGTTTTGTGAGATCCTTTTGTAGCTCTTTGCAGTCTGCCTGGGACTTAACTATCTTGAGTAATTTTGTATCACCTGCAAATTTTGCCACCTCACTGTTTACCCCTCTTTCCAGATAATTTATGAATATGTTGAATAGGACTGGTCCAAGAACAGACCCCTGGGGGACACCACTATTTACCTCTCTCCATCCTGAAAACTGACCATTTATTCCTACCCTTTGTTTCCTATCTTTTAACCAGTTACCAATCCATGAGAGGACCTTCCTTCTTATCCCCTAACAGTTTAGTTAACAGCTTTATCTACCATCGTGTGTCCTTCCATAACTGCCATGAATCTTCACTTATTTAAAACTTATTTTCTTAGCTATACTCATTTGCACAAACTCTGCACAATACACACATTTTACAACCTGTTGCATACCTCTGTTTCGACCACTATCTAGGCAAATGCATTTTACTATTAAATCCAACGCACACAAGCATGCAGCATCCCACCTACACAGTAGTAGTTTTTCTTCCAGCTGATGGGTAGACAGCTTCGTAAAAGATTTTATTTCAACTACTTTCTCACAAGATTTCTTTTACCTTTCAAGTTCTCACTCAGTTGGATGCCAAAGGCCAACTTTCTGCAGACTTTAGTAGAAGGCAGCATTAACCACAGGCATTTATGCTGCTGCTATCTACCTAAAATTCTCAACTTCTGGAAACAGGAGCGTGTCTTATGCTAGAAACGTGAACTGGGTTGGGAGAAGTGAGATTAGAAAGTCTTCATCCTTCCACACAACTGAAATGATGAGTTTCCTCCCCTCCGTCCATCCCTTAAGGCTCACCGGGATCTACAAAGCGGTGGAAATCTGCTGTTATGCCATCCTGTAATGAGTATTTGACACAGCCAATCTCACAAGGGAGGAAGCGCTGCTCACAGGGAGAGGGCAGCTCTCCATGACTGTAAATGTTCAGGAAGCAGAAGATGTTCCCAAGCACAGCTGGAAGGAGAAATTTGCAGGGGTCACTAGAGGAGAGAGCAAGCAAGTTTTTTTCCACCCAGTGAACATTATTATTTATATTGCAGCAGTACTTATAGGCCCCAATCAAAGATCAAGGCCCCACTATGTTAGGCCACACAACTGAGTAAAGACACAGGATAACAATTGGATGAAAAACAGGGAGTGGCATGTGGGAGGACAAGGTAACCGTTAAAAGGACACTTGTATAAATCAGGAGATTCTGCAGTCACAGTTCACCTCCAGCTTAATTCAGATGGTACTGTTTTGTAAATATCACAGCACAGGTTAACAAGAATGCCAGGGGCCTGGAATCCATCAACTACCACCACTCATGCCTCCCTCCAATAAAGCTCTCCAAGATTTTGTCTCTAAGTAGGGATGGGAAATGTCACCGATACCAGGAACTCTAAACAGCACATTAAGCTTCAACCAAATCCAGTGGGAGGCAGACTGAACTAAGGATATAGTGCTTTTACACTGGAGGGCTGAAAAGAATCAAAGAGCCCTTAGAGAGCTCACCTCTAAAATAACAGAGCAAGAACATGTGACAGGTTATGTATGTTACAAACAAGAAACAATGCTCAGACTTAGCATAGCAACAGGTCCAAACTACTAAAATATTGACTTCTGTCAGTGAAAACTGTACAGATCATCTGTGTTTCAGTGACAACTAAGGGTATTCCTTCACCCCCAGCCTAGCCCATTCTCTCTTCAATAATATTTTATTTAGTGCTTGCACTGGTTTTATGTATCTTGGCTGGTGGCTTGACTGTTTATAGCATTTTGTAAGTGCTACTGTATATTATACTAGCGCTTCTCAGAGACAGGGTGAAGTGCACTGTGGCAGTGCTCTGAGTGTTTCCTTTGCTGCTAGTCAATGCTGATCAAAGTATCAGTTTTACACGGAAATGCAGATGGGAACACAGATTGGCTTTTCAGGGTTCTATTTAGTAAGACACTAGCCAGCCAATGTGCAAGTACAGCACTGACTGACACAATAGCTTTCTCCCCTGCTAGGCTCTCCTGTTACCCAGTGTCTATACTGTTGTTCTGAGCTTGCACTCGGACATCTAAAAACTCCCCACCCTGTTATACTTGACATAAGCACTGGACTAGGTCTTGTATATCCCGAATGAAATGGAAGTTACAATAGAAATGCTTTCCTGCAGCAGTTCACTTTGGTTTATCTCCAATCATTTACAGACATTAAGGGCCTTATTCTGTCCTCAAATATGTACATGCAACTCCCATTAAGTTTAAAAGGAGGTACAGCCACACATCTGTGGGCAGAAACTGCCCCCAGAACATTATGAACCACATTTCTATTATGAAATCCTTTGTTACTGTAGGACAACTTACAATAGTAATTTTAACTAAGTTATTTTTTGTCTGACATATTAAATATATTCAGATCTAAATTAAACATGAATTTCCCACTTTCCCCAGCTAAGGCCTATAAGCCAGATGTAGCAATTCTGCTCCTTATGGAAGTCATCCAACACTACAAGATCCTTAGGATTAAGCTTCTTTAGGTTTACTCTACCCTGATCGTTCTTCCAAGAAAGACTGATGGCATCTGGAAAAGAAGCGTGTCTCTGTATCTGCCTGGGCAGTGGTGCAGGAACCGGAGAAATCTGACTGGGAGGCTGCAGAAGACAAAATAGAGTTAAATCTATAGTCTGCTCCTCCAAAGTCAGAGAAGGACCATAAGATAGCTCCTCCTTTGTCCTCTATAAATGGACGGCAGCACCGCTCCTTCTAAACCCACCTAACCACAGTATGCAGGCAGAACCTGCCGATTACGAGCAGGCATGTTTTCTCCTCTGACACAAAGGATATTAGCGGTGCCCACACCAATTTACCAACACATGGAAAGAACTATAGCCAAGCCTCTGAATTAAAAAAATGAACATCAACAGAAGGACACTTCATCCATGTTTTGGTTTGTCACATATCTTCCAAGCCTACAGACTTTCGTCCCTTCCCCTAGGATGTCACTAACACAGTTTCCCCCTTAACTGAAAAGCCTATAAAGAGCAGGCCAAAGACAATTTCTTTCACATCTACTTTATTAGTCATTATTACACAATATTTCAGATGTTAGAATTACAGGGTAAGTAATGTCCATTTATTGCTTCTCTGAAGGTATCATCATGCAGGATTCGCAATCTTGGGTCTTGCGTCTCCAGTACAAATCACGAAAAAATTCTCATTACTCTTAGGGTTTTTTACCTTCGGATACACCTCTAGGCTGGCCTCAGAGCTCTGGCCCCCAGAATATGCTCTAACTTCAGGAACATCAGAGGGCCCAGAACATTTAAACTAGCTCCTTTTAAAATGTGGAAGCAAGGGCTCCCCAAACAATTATATGTAAGAGACCTACACACTTCTACCTTACGCCAATAATCTTTTCTTAAAACAACAACAACAACAACAAACAGTACAGAGGAAGTCAACCTTCTCAGAACATGTAATCAACAATGTAGAAGTGAGTGCTCACTGTGTGAACAAAGGACACATTACATTATCATCTGAACCCCTCAAACTCTGAGGTGTACAAGCATGACAACATTGCTGGAGAAGCAGAATTACAAGGTAAGCAATTTTCCCTTCCTTAAAGATATTATTTAATACAGATTCCCAACCCCGGAGAGGAGGTACGTTCAAGGGATGTCCTGAAATAGTAAGTTTAACAATGAACATGACCAGAATGTATATCAGTGAAGAACTCCTCCAAAAATTGGTCAACTTCAGTAAAGACATCCTAAAAGAGAAATTATAAGCAATGGAATTGTTTGGATTCTCCTTACTTTAGGAAAGAGTTCAGTATGACTGAAGAGAGATTTTTCCCCCCCACACCTCTGAGATGTGTAATTAGTAGAACAAAAAGAGTTAGGTGAACTTAAGGGTTTCATTTCCCCCCAAGTAAAGTTGCCCAGGATCTTGAAAGTCAAGCATGCAGAGAAGGGCCTCGCTGGGACGGGGTTGCATGCGTGGGAAGAATGTAGGCAGGACGAAAGTGGAAGTAGGCTTCTTGGGCAGAAATGTTGTCAGAAGATTCTGTACCACCACTATAACTTTGTAAAACTTAATATAAGGTGGATTAGTCATTAAAACCTGAACGCATCCTAGGAGTAGAGATAGTACACTTCCTGGTGATGGTTATCACAAAACTTCTGTCCCCAGGTACTGAAAGGCTCAAAAGGAACTTTTCTTTAGCTTTCTCAGGATCATATTTGTTATGTGACACCAAAGCTTTTTAACAGGGTCTGACACTGGCAGGCCAGATGCCAGCTCTTATCCAGGCTGCAGGCATTAGATAAGAACTGACAATCTTGTAGCTGGAGACCAGACCAGGTCACCTGTAGGTTAGTTTTGCTCAAAACAGGTATTAGTCATAAGAATGTATTTAGCATTTAAACTATGAAATGCTTGTAAGATGCTGCGTGCATTAATCTCATTTGCAATGTCTGTATTCCATGCAATAAGAAACTATGTAAGTTTTGCCGAATAACTTTAAAAAAGTTTGCTCTGAACTTGCAAACTCAGTCCCGGGAATCACCCCCCACCCATTCAGAAGGACTATCAAAATCAGATGGGTCATCAAGGCACATCACAATACAAAGGACTGGTTAATGGCTCTCTCACACCTGGGAAATGCTATGTGCAAGGAAGCTCCTCCTGTTGGCTTGAAAGCTGAATGAAGGGAATAAAACAAAGTCACAGAAAAATTTCGATCTCTCTCCTCGCTGTTTGAACTCTGACAGGGCCAGATGTCCTAAACTGAGGTAGAGATCCCCAGGGGTTACCCCTGAGTCCGCCCTGAAAGACCCTTTGAATTGACAGATCACTACAACTCTGTCACTCTTAGGATTTAAGTGGTAACTCATTGGTGTGTGTTTGCTTGCTTTAATCTGCAAACAACTCTCATATTGCTTTCTCCTAGCTAACAAACCTATAGGCCATGTCTACTCTACTGAGCTTACACCGATGCAGCTGCACAGCTGTAAGATCACTCATGTAGCCACTCTATGCTGACGGGAGAGAGCTCTCCCATCGACATAATTACACCACCTTCAACGAGCCGTCCATACCGGCGCTTCTGTCGGTGTTACTTATGTCACTCAGAGGGGTGTTTTTTCACACCCCTGAGCGACATAAGTTATAATGACAAAAGAGCTAGAGTAGACATAACCTTAGACAGTTTATTACAGGATTGGCTACAGCGGCTGTCTCTGGTGTAAGATCTAGGGTACCAACTGACCTAAGGGTAAATGACTGGTCTCTTGGGACTGGAAGCACCCTGAATGTGCAGTGATTCTTGGTATAAGTGACCATTTATCACTAACTGTGTCTTTGTCTGGGTGGCAAGACAGGCTTGAGAGTGTGAGAGACTGTCTGTGACTCCATGATAAGACTGTTATAGTGATCCAGGAGTTCACATTTAATACTGGCTTGGTGACATCTAATTCTAGAACACACCACCAGTTTGGGGTGTCTGCCCTGAGGTAGGCACTCTCAGATGTGAGACACTCCAGACAGTGTGACACAGGGGTTTCAAAATGTCAAGCTTCAAATGAATCTGATGAAAAAAGGCTATAGAGACATTGTCGTGTCTTTGACAAGGTCACTTGTTCATGAAAAGCAGTAGAACGATGAGTTAAGGAAGTAATAATACAGCTCTTGTGCAGAGCAAGTAAAGGGTTTATGGGCCTGTAGGTAACACACACCAGATCTCATCCATTTGCAAAGAGAAGGCCATTGAGGACAAGGTGATTCAAGCCACTTGCTTTGAGATTTGCTTGCCTACAGATTTCCACCTTGACAGGAGCCGAGTTGTCAGAGACAATGCATCTAGGTATGGATGGATGGAGCAAGCAAGTGCTAGACTCAGCCTGCTGATATCAGTTTGGGCCACCTGCAAAAAAGCTGAAAACCAATCCCATGTAAGGTGGTAAGAAGCTAACAAGATCTCCAAAAACTTTTATCTCCTGAATGATGCCAGGACCTCTGACTCCAAGAGTAGCCAGCATAGAGACACAGACACGTCCATTCCCAGAGAACAAACATGTCCCACATTAACTCTCTTTTCTACTATGACCAGGAGACTAGAGAGCGGTAGTTCAAGTTAAAGAGCACTTCATCTCTAGAACATGACACTGGAAGAGTTCTGATCCATCACACTATGATCCATAGATGAACTGTGATGAGCTACGAAGAACCGACTCAGTCTTCCTCATTCCCCTTCCTGACAGATAAGCCGCAACTAGAAATGTTTTGCAGGACAGATCCCACTCCCACATCTGCAAGACCTCCCAACGCAGGAAGCATGATCCAAGTCTCATTACCTACTGAGATAACATGTGATGAGAGTTTCTTCAAATCATGATCACCCTTTAGAGATACCAGGTCTCTAGCACTACTTAGTGTTTTCAGAATCACTAATGCATATCAGTATTCTGGATAACTGCTGTTCCCAGGGAAAGACACGTGTCCTAGTAAGAATTTGAAGGGTACAGTCCACCTCATAATTGGAACCCAGTTGTGAGTTACACCAGTATATACACCATATTGTCCATAAAGTGAAACTGCATGGAACATAAAGCAGGGTTCTGCTTGGATTGTTTTTTGGTCTGACCACTTAAGAGAAATTTTGTGCTACCAATTTAAAATGGAAACAGATAAGCTCTTTGAGGTATGGATCTTGTCTTCTTGCATACATATAAAGTGCCACAATAAAAATATGCTACTTG